GGGTGAAAGAGGAGAGTGCAAAAAAATGGTCTGAAGCTCAACATCAAAAAAAATAAGATCATGGCCACTGGTCCCATTGCTTCCTGGCAAAGTGAAGGGGAAGCTGTGGAGGCAGTGACAGATTTTACTTTCATGGGCTCGACGATCACTACTGATGGTCACAGCAGCTACGAAATTAAAGGATGCCTGCTTCTTGGGAGGAAAGCGATGACAAACCTAGAGAGCATTTTAAAAAGCAGAGACATCACTTTGCCGACAAAGGTCCGCATAGTCCAAGCTATGGTTTTCCCAGTAACAATGTATGGAAGTGAGAGCTGGCCCATAAAGAAGGCTGACCGCCGAAGAATTGATGCTTTTGAGCTGTGGTGCTAGAGGAGACTCTTTAGAACAAACCCATTCATGTTGAAGGAAATCAACCCTGAGGGACAGACCCTGAAGCTGAGGCTCCAATCCTTTGGCCATCTCATGAGAAGAGAAGACTCCCTGGAAAAGACCCTGATGTTAGGAAAGTGTGAAGGCAACAGGAGAAGGGGATGACAAAGGACAAGATGGTTGGACAATGTCATCGAAAACAGTGATTTTGACCCAACTCCGTGAGGCAGTGGAAGACAGGAGGGCCTGGCTTGCTCTGGTCTATGGGGTCACAAAGAGTCGGACATGACTTAACAACTAAACAACAACAACAATCAAAGGTGTTATAGTATCACCTTATGAGCATGGAAAACAGGCTAATTACCCATTTAGTTACACATTCGAAACGAACAATACTTGGCACATTCAGACTCAGTCAGGGGAGGCATGTTTTATAGTGTGAGGTTGCCTGATAGCTTCTAATAAGTGTATGATTTTTTTAAAAAAAGCATTATTTGCATAGCTTTTCTCCTACAACATAGTTAATTGTGTTACATAATCAGCAGTTTGTAATCAATTTGTGTGTTTTATATAATTTTTTTTCCACGCTTACCCACTCATCAATATTGGCCACAATTATGTAAACATACAAATGCAATGCAGTCTTACAATTGTATATGAAATATACAGAGAAGTGTATGAACAAGATTATCTTGCCATAAATAAAGTATAGGAGATTCTGATTAGGTTGCACAGAAACAAATCAAAGCACCTTATCAAGAAGTATTTAGGTAAAGTGGAAAGTGCAAAGTACCCAGGCAAAAGTTCAGATCCTAAGTGTTCCTAATTCTGAGACACACATCTTTATTGATAGTTTTAAACCATCTGCCCTTCTCTTTTGCCCAAATGAGTTCCTAAGATGACTTTCAGACAGTTATCTTATACATATTTACCTGCATGTGAGTCTTATTCATCTCAAGTTATTTGACTGATTAGGCTCAGTATTGTGTTAGATTTTTAATTTCTGCATTAGAGTATATGTTTGTAAATTGCTTCCTCCTTGTTTCAGTACTTGAAAATACTGTAGTAAGTTGTTATTTTGTTTATGCCACTTTTCTTGAAAATTGAATGAGTTCAAAAATCATGCTTTTACAAAATAGCATTTCAAGCCTGGAAACCTTTAGAGCAGTGACCCCCAACCTTTTAAACCCTGTGGAACCGGTTGGGGAAGGCAGGGCACTTCCGAAGGAGCGCTCTCTCTTGCGCAGGGTTGCTCGTGTGCATGTGCAAAGAAACGGGATGGTGCTTGTGCGGGCGCTCATGCACATGTGCGAAGGGCGGTGCAGCACTCATGCAGGCATGCAGGCGCTTGTGTGCATGCGCGAAGGGCAGGGCGGTGCTCAGGGGCACTCGTGTGCTTGTGTGAAGGGGTGGGGGAGCACTTGTGTGGGAGCAGGCGCACGTGCACAGGCACAAAAGGGCTATGCAGGGGGGAGTACGTGCAAGAGTGGGGTGGGGAGGTCTGTCTCTGTGGCACGGTCCGGCTCAAGCCACGGACCGGCACTGGGCCAATTAGCGGGGGTTGGGGACCTCTGCTTTAGAGTATCTGTGAAAAGAAAGCAATGACACAACTCACCAAATCACATAGCCAATTGTGAGCATCACCTGATTTTTCAAGTAGATTGGTTTGTAATTTGGAGGTCATAACTATAACGATCCATCTTGTAGGTGACCTGACTCCTAAAAAAGCACATAGAGCAAGGTCGGATTTATCCATTATAAGTGTAGGACACAGAGGTCTGACAAGGTCAGTTCCAGGACTCTGGATTGGGCCCTGAACGGTACAAGCAGACGGTGTCAAAACTATAGCTAGCAGGGCATCTTCAAGAGTACCTCATGTAGAACACATTACAGTGGTCAAGAAGAAATACAGTCTTTCATAAAAAAAGAGTGACAGTGGACTAACAGCTGTAGGGTAGAACCATACATACACTGATACATCATTTCAATACAGCAGGCCCTGTTCTCTTCTAAGGCTTTTGCTGTCAGAGCAAACAATATGAGAGCAAGTTATTTTCCCTTTTTATTTTCTCATCCGCTGAAGGGAGGACTTGACTGAGTGATGCAGAGTTTTTCATTTTTTGTTAAATTCCGACAACTGTGTGGCAGAAGTTCAGGGATTTATGGAGTAGAATAGCTTCAACTTTCCCATAGACTGTGTGCAAAGGTGGTGTGGCAGAAGTTCTGGGATTTACGGAGTAGAATAGCTTCAACTTTCCCATAGAAGATCACCCCTTTCTCATTAACTAGCATTTGCAGTCTCAGTAACTCACTCTGAGACATTAGTGAAAGAAATAAAAGAATGCTTTATTACTTACAATTGAACAGTTAAACATCAAGCTAACAAACATCACTGCTTTCAGCAACAGGACTCAACAGACTAGAGAGGGGAAAGGGCACACAGTAGAGAGGTGAGGCTCTCCTTGAACTCAGAGACAGGGAAAGAAAGATTGGTTAGTGTTAGATAGATTGACTGTCAACTCAGACCAGAAAGAACCTCCCTAGTCATACCTGCTCCAGGCAACATGTGAGGTTGTAAAAAATCCAACAGAAGGTCCCTCCCATTGCAAGCTTCCTCCACTGAGCTGACAAAATTTTTGCCTTCTGAAAAGGACTGTGAGGATGTTCCTCTTTGCCCACTACTACAACAGTGACATGCCTCCCTTCAACCTGAGCCTAGATCTTTCTCTTTCTACCCTTGCTAGAGAAATAAGCTATACTGTATCCCAGAGTTTCTAGGACTTCTTCCCGGGGTGCATAAGATGGTCATCTGTGTTGCAGAATGGGTGATAAGCCTGGGATTTTAAGATAGTTTTACACTGCAGCAATCCAAATTCAGCAGGAAGTCTCCCAGTTACCATTCTAGTATTGTACAGTGGTACCTCGCAAGACGACGACCCCACTAAACGATGAATCCGCATAATGATGACTTTTTGCGATCACTATAGCGATTCGCAAAACAGTCATTCCAATGGGGGATTTTCGCTTGACATTGATTAGGTCCGTGCTTCGCGAACCATTTGTTCGCAAGACGACAATTTTTTCCGCTGATCGTCGGCTTCGCAAAATGGCTGCCCTGTGTTTTCCGGACCCATGCTTCGCAGGGCAGCCATTTTTACAGCTGATCGGTGCTCGCAAAATGGCTTCCCTATGGGCAATCTTCGCTGGATGACGAGGTATTTTCCCCATTGGAACGCATTAAACCAGGTTTCAATGCATTTCAATGGGGAAAGGGTTTTCGCATGACAATGATTTTGCTAAACACTAATTTCAATGGGATGGATTATTGTCGTCATGCAGGGCACCACTGTATCTTTAGCTTAAAAAGTCAAGTTCTCAGAGGAGTTTCAGGATATACACCTTTGCCACGGCTGTGTCTACATCAACAGCCATTAAAACATGGTCATGGGTGGAGCTTTCTCAACTCCACAGGAACGGAAAAGCATTAGGAAATGTAGTTTCTCTGTTCATTAAACTCTGTAGAGGGTGCCTTTTAAAAAACCTACCATCCCCTAATGCTCTATAGTTACCATTAAAGCACAGAGAAAGACATGGATGGAGCTTTCTAAGTTCCATCCATGTCCTACTCTATACTTTAATGGCTGTTGCTGCAGACATAGCCTTGGCAAAAAAGGGTATATATCATAAAACTCCTCTGGGTACTTTTTTTAAAAAGTAAATCTACCAGAATTCTAGCTGGGGGAATTCCTGCTAAATTCTGGTAGTAGTAGCAGAAAAAAAAAAAAACACCCAAAAATCCCATGCAAAATTGGCACGGTTAGTTAATTGAAAGTTCTGATTTTAACCTAATAGGCTCTAAATGGCTTTGGCCCAAGCTATTTAAAACCTTTATAAGCTTACCTGGTTATTAAGATCATCATGAGAGGCCTTTCTCTCAATCTCCCCACCCTCACAGGCCTGTTTGGTGGGGATACAGGAGAGGGCCTTCTCTGTTGCTGCTTCCAGGCACTGGAACTCCCTCCCACAGGAGGCCAGGCTGGCCCCATCTTTGCTTTCCTTCTGCAAGCAGATGAAGACCTTTCTCCTGAGGCAGACTTTCTTTTAAATGACTGGTTCACTAAGAGGATTTTTAAAATAGGAGCCTTTTGTAGGAGCATATTTGTTTGATGCTTTTAAAAATATTTTAATAATTTATCATTTAGGTTTTAACTTTGTTTAACTTTGGGAATTCAGTAGTGTCCTTTCCCTGATTTGCAAATGTTCTATGTTCTTTTTCTCATACTTGTTCATGCAACCATGGTGTATATTTATTCAAATGAATAATAGTACTATTTAATGATGGCTCGAACAACCTGAAAAATTTTATACTTTCCCCTACTTCTCATCTGCAAGTTCTTGCCTGGTGCTTTCTGTTCATTTGCAATACTGAAGTTGATCTTCTCTTTAATTAGTAAGACATTCATATGCAATCAGTTATGAATTAACTATAAGGACAGTTGCCTTTTTTCTCTGTTTATATGCAACTTAATGAATATTTCTGAATTTTTTCTTCAGTTATTCTTAATTGTTGATAAATCTGGAGGGGTAGTACTCTTCCCTTCCCAGCAATGTTTCACAAAGTATATGTGAATAACCATTTATCATATATTTGTTTATAGGGTTTCTTTTTGACAGTGTCACCAGAATCTATATTGAAAGTGGCCTCTCAGGCTTCTGCAAACAACAAGATCTTTGCCTTGAATCTTTCTGCACCATTTATTAGCCAATTCTACAAGGAACCAATGATGAAAGTTTTCCCTTATGTTGACATCCTTTTTGGAAATGAGATGGTGAGTATTCGAGTTACAGCCAGGGGGTCACCATGACTTGGGGGGTCAGGGGACAGAAGGGGGTTTGACTCCTTTTACCCTCTTTCTTTGTTGCTGGAGAGACAAAGGGAGAAGGCTATCTGAGACCCATTGAATTTCTAAAGGCAATGCAGGTGAGGGGATTGCTTTTTCCCAATATGGTATGGGGAACTGTGTTTTGCAAGACAATGTTTTCTATGGACAATTTTCGCAAGACAGTGATTTTTCCCCCAATTGGAACGTATTAAATGAATTTCAATGCATTCCAATGGGGAACTGGGTTTCACAAGACGATGTTTTCACAAGACAGCAATTTCCATGGAACGAATTAAAATCGTCTTGCGAGGCACCACTGTACTTTACCTATGAAAGACATAAAATACACTGCAAAGGGCAGGAAATAAGTTTTGTAAGCAAGTGATTGTTCTGGAAGAGTAAGAATTATGTCCAGGTAACCAAATGTGAACTGTTTGTGGAAGCTGATAGTTCTTGTTTGCTAATTGGCAAATTAGTGCTATAGGTATGTATTGACTGGTAAGGTAAAAAACATGTTTATGGGTTAGTAATTTCTGGTAGATGTAATTGCAAGGCTATCCTAAGCTTTTGGCCAGTGATTCAACAGACAAGTCGGCTTATGTTAAAAACTCCATCCTGTCCCTCACTCGTGCAAAATGAAGGAACAGTGCCAAGGCTCCTGTATTGTTAGAAACATCTTATCCAAACTGTAGTTCACACAGAATGTGTTAGATAAACAGAACCAGAAATTATGCCTATCATTTTACTTCCATCCTGCCCATTATGCCCTCTGCAAATCTGTGGCTTTTATCTCAATTTATGGTTTGTTTCACAACTGCAAACATGGCAGCTGGGCTGAATTCAGCTGTATGATGAGTGTCTGCATTATTAAACTATACACAACGAGATATGAGGAAAGTGACACATATGCCAATGTAGTTTCTGATCACTTTAGTGGATGGAGATTTATATACTGTCCTATCCTTTCTAGTGTCTCAGAGTACACCTGCTGGAGAGTAGTGCATAGAAATACAGTTCAATATAGTCTGCTCGAAAGGTATTACCATCTATAAACTTAAAACAATTACAAGTCATGTTTTTTCTATAGCATATCAAACTGTTTCACAATAGTCATTATGATTAATTAGAATATAAAATATCATTTCTTTCTTACCTATGTACATGATTCTACATGACTACAGCAGCCCTGTGGAGTTATCAGAACATTTCAGCTCATGCTTTGATAAGTTTCTTGAGTTTTCTTTGGACTTAGTAAAAATATCTTGCCTTAGGTCATTGACTAGACTTCATATAATGAATTTAACATGGGACACTTGCTATAAAAGTAATTATTATTGCTAACCACTTAGAGACAGTCTCTGGTCATTATGTAGCAATACATGATTGGAGAACATGATTATTGTCATTTTTTTAAATTATTACATTTAGTTTTTTTAATAAGTGTCATTCTGCAAATGGTTCTTAGTCATAGTACCTTCCAAGCCTACTGTAATCACTGGATAATTAACCTGCCAGGATTTAAGCACACTCAACTTTGCCTCAGGATACTTAACACTCAGATAAGGTCAATTATCTCCTCCTGCTTTGTTACAGGTTACTTCGTAATTCATTTGTAAAATTGTTCACCTTATATACATTTCACAGTCCAAGGACACTTTCAATACTAATCCCAGCTGTTTATGTTACAGAAGCTTTAATGATTACACCAAAATGCCAAAGTGTGTCCAATGAGTAAAATGTGACAATTCTGTAATCAGAAAGGAGTATGAGGATCAGAAGGTGAATCATTATTCTCTAGACGTGGATGTCCATCTTGTGGCACAGGCAGGGAAGAATTTGTGGCATGGCTGGACTGGGGCAGAAGGACCAGTGGACCTTGCTGTAGACTAGACTTGGTTGTATTAATGCCGTCATCTGTAGCTTGGTGTACTGTATGGCACCAGGAATGGCATATTAAACAGTGGTGCCTCGAGTTACAAACCTCTTGACTTGCGACCAATTTGAGTTACGACCAGCACCGGTCGCAAAATTTTGCTTTGACTTGCGACCAGCGCTTTGAAATACGACAGGAAAAAAGGCTCCCTCCCTCCTTTCCTGCCCTTTTTTAACCTTAGACAACATCATCTTATGTTAAAAAAAAGTCTCCTCCTAGTGGATGGATTAACCGCTTCTGCATTAGTTCCTCTGGGAACTAATGCTTTGAGATACAACCAGTGCCTTGAGATATAACCAAGATAAGAATCAAATAAATAAATAAATAAAGTAAGTAAGTAAGTAAATAAATAAATAAATAAA